ATTTTATTTTGATTTCAAATTTGGTAAGCAATTCGGATGTAATGCTCCGGCAAATCTTGTTTAATTTATTTTTCTTCATAACATATCTTTTTTTCAGATTTTTTGATGACTTCTTTTTTTTTTTTTTTTTNTTTTTTTTTTTTTTTTTTTTTTTTTTTTTTTTTTGTCCGTGTTCGGTCTGAACGGCCGAACGCATCCCCAAGGGGTCCCATACGTTCAGGTGTTCGGATTCGGGCGTTCGGCCCGTCCCGAACGCCGGTTACTCTGCTCACAGTTAAATTTTAGATTATCTATAATAGGTTGTTAGATTGGGTAAGAGTTAGTAACACATCCTTTTGGAATTTTCAGTAGTTAAGAAAACATTCATAGTAAGAGTCACTAACACATTCTTTTCGAATTTTTTTCTTCAGGTCATTTTCTATGTCCAAGTCGGTGACAATTGTTCCAAAGAAGTCACTTTTTGCATGAGAGAGCGTCGACTACTACATTATACTTATACACTTTACGCTTTTCAATTCGAAATCGTGGGTACCAATGATAGCGGATTATCTGATAATTTTGTCAGTAACACGAGGTTGCGTCTTAAGTCATTTCAGAGTGACTGTCTCTTGGTCTGAGTAGACTTTGAAGTGTCTACCTAAGAGATAGTGTTTCCATGTCAGTAAAGTTTGCAACAGTACAGATAGTTTTGTCTCATAGGTTGAGTTTTCTACTTTGTCCGAAGGGACTCGGCAAGACATGAACTCAATTGGTCGGTAACCCTTTCCCATTATTTTGCTGCAGTATAGCCCCAATCCCTTACTGATTTGCGTCAGTGGTTACAAAAAAAGGCAAGGATGGGTCTGCAATTTTCAAAACAGCGTAGCGAGTGAGCTCATACTTTAGCTTTCTAAACGCAGACTCGCAGTCTTTATCCCAAAGCCAGATAATTTCTTTTTTTAAGAGTTTCCTCATTGGGGCAACTATGAAAAAAAAATCATAACGAACTTCATATAGTAGCTGCTCAGTCTCAAAAAGGAGTGCAAGTCAGTTACAATTTTCAACTTAGATCAATATCTTATAGCAACAAATATTTTTCCCTCTGGTCTCAACCCATCTTCATTCACAACATGTCATAGGTATAAAACTTCAGACTTTGTGAATGCAGACTTTTAAGAATTCGGTTTGAAGTTTCTCTCTCTTAAATTTTGTAGGACAAAACGCAAATGTTTTTCATGATCTTCCAGTATTTTGTTGAAGATAAGGATGTCATCAAAATATATTACTACGAATTGGTCCAACCATTCTCTGAACAACTCATTCATTGATCTTGGGAAGGTAGCAGATGTGTTAGTCAATTCATACGGCATCACGACAAACTCATAGTGATCATATCTTATTCTGAAAGTTGTTTTGTGTTGATCTTCATGGACTACTTCAATCTGGTGATAGTCAGACTTCAAGTTAATTTTATTGAAGTACTTTTATAATTGCAATGGGTATAAAAGGTCGTTAATTCGATGGGGTGGTTCGACATTCTTAACATTATCTGCATTCAACCCTCGGTAATCAGTACAGAGTCGTAACTCACCTTTTTTTTTTAGAAAAAATAAAGCAGGAGCTTCATAGGGAGAAGAGTTAGATCTAATTTATCCCTTGTGAGTTCCTGTAGTTGCTTTCTCAATTCATCAAGTTCCTTCGGGGAAATACGATAGATTGATCCTCTGAGAATTCCACTTTCGAGAATAGTCTCAATGGTATATTTTATCTTCCTTTGAGTTACCTCCGTTGGTTCATTTTGCATATCCTTATATTCATCAAGTAGTTTTTTAATAGCAGGAGAGTAAGAGGAGGAACATTCACCAACAGTACTAACACCATCATCACCTCATGTGCCAACTTATTTTTCGCAATCATGGATCAAAATGTAGGGACACCCATACAACAGAAGAACAATGTAGATTTTGTTTCTGATTTATCATACAATTTAATCAGTTTCAATTCATTATTATAATTCCTAATTTTTATAAGTTTTTTCATATATTTGATTTTAAGGTCTGATTCGTCATGCCAATCTACTCTCAAGATAATATCAAATGACATATGTTTTTTAATCGGGAATGTTACTTCATGTAGAATACGCTTACCTTCCTGGGTCCTTAAGTAATAATTTATATTTTTCACACATTAGAAAACTGTGATGGTACTATGATCGTTCAACATAAAGACAATAAGCTTTGCTAGATTCCTTACTCGCATACCCAAGTGCATTTTTTTTACATCACCTTCGAATATGTAGGATCTAGTTGAGCTTGAGTCTAACAGAACATTGACTTGTGTCTTCAAAATCTCTATGTCTGCAAGCATCAACTCACCCTTAGACTTTGCTTTCTTAGCTTTTGAGCTTTGTAGGCTAATCAATTCATTGCCAAGCTTATAAAGGGTCTCACTCAAAGGGATTCTGCATATCACAAGTTCAATGCAATCTGAGTGAGGGGTGAAGGAAGAGACATCCTCCGCCATAGGAATTGAAGGGTGGAAAGAGTTTTTCGTCGCCGATTCTACGTCTGCACCCTTCGGTTCAGTAGGAGCAGATACTCCCTTTTGGGTTCCTAATCAGATGGCACCATGCTATAATATGCCTCGCAGTGCTGCACTTTAGTCATTGATGGTTATCCATCCTGTCCTGCCATGTGTCCTCATGAATGTTAATTTTCTACCAAGGCCTTATGAAACTTATGTCAGGATGGGTTGGAAAGGAATGTGGTCTCCTCCTATATCCATTTTCATTTCTATTATAGTTGTCACCCTTGTTCACAACTATGGTGGTGAAATCCCCCTTTCTTGATTCCCCGCCTACATTCGCTTGTCTCTCACTTCCTTCGAGGGGGCACTTCTCCACTTTGTTGTCGTCAAACACAACGAGCGTATGGTCTTGTCTCTTCCGCCTTCACAATTTCCCCCCCCTAATCCACTCCCTTGCCCTGATTTGGTAACCCTAGCGTAGGTGTTCTTTACCTACGATGTCATTTGTTCTGGCTGCAAGGCGAAATCCTATAACTGTCTATACGTATACTTACCTGATTTCGACTCGACAACTAGTTCTTCATATATAGGTTCAGGTAAGGCTCGTGAGTAGATGTAGAGAATTTGATCATCATGGATGCTCAATCCGGATCAGTCCAAGTACTTGCATCAGACGATCCACTTCACAAGAGAGAGCATCAACATTTGTCTAATGTGTGTGTGTGTGTGTGTGTGTGTGTGTGTGAGAGAGAGAGAGAGAGAGAGAGAGAGAGAGAGAGAGAGAGAGACTCTTGTCTCTCTCTCTCTCTCTCTCTC